AATGATGGTAGAAAGAGATGACTCCTCAGTTTGGGGCAAAGGAAAGCTTTTTATCATTTTTCATAATGATGGGAACAGGTGGGCGTGAGGAAGGTAGAGGAGAGAGAAAAAAGGGTCATGCTTTCTTTCAGTGTTTGATGTGCCATTGGAGATCCAAATGCACGTGTAACATAGGCAGTTGGATGTTCAAATCTTCAGTTCAAGAGAGAAGAGATAGAAATAAATATTTAAGAATCATCACCTTAGAGATGATACTTAAAGTTGTAAGAGACTAAATGAAATTGCCTGTAAGGGGCTGAGAGTCAAAGATTAAACTCTTGAGATGCCACAAGCATCTCTAGTTCAATTAGAAGAGAAGTGGGCACAGAGGAAGTTGCCAAGGCAAGTTCAGAGAGGTTGAATAAAAAGGAGCTGCTGAAGTCTAGAGAAGAGAATCCAGCAGAGAATGTGATTGGCTGTGTTGCACGCAGGTAAGAGGTTGAGAGGGAGGGAGGTGGAGCCGTGTCTATATTTGGCATCAGGATGGGAGGACGCAAGCAGAGATGGCAGCAGAGCTGATTATAGAGGGTTGGAGAGTGAATGGATTGTATGATTTCACTGATAAATGTCTGGAATAGGCAGATCCATAGACATGGAATATAGATTAGTGGGTGCCAGGGGCTAGGGCCTGGACATTGGGGAATGGGGAGCGGGTGCTGATAGGTACAGGTTTTCTTGGGGGGATGGAAATGTTCTGACATTAGGTAGTGGCAGTGGTTGCATAACTCTGCGAATATACTAAAAACCACTGAGTTATATTAAAATGGTAAATTTTATGGTATGCGAATTGCATCTTAAAAAATAAAGAGGTTAAAGGGACTCACAGAACACCTTGGGAGAAGGGATCATGAGAAATGGTACTTTGAGGGGCGGAATCCATAGAATTGCTGGACAAGTGATCCCAGGTATCCCAACCAGAAACCGAAAAGAGGTTTGTCCAAAAGGAGGGTGAATCAAAGAGCCGGGCTCTGGGCTGACGGACGAGAGCAGAAGGCACAGCCAGGGGAGGCATGACTTCACAGAGCAACGCGCCTGAAAAGAGATTGAAAGGCTTATCTTTCAATTCTGTTACATCTTTGAACCAGGCCAATGAAGCATCGGATATAGTGGTTAAAAGCGAGGATTCTACACTCAGACTGCCTGGATTGGCATCCTGGCTTTGCCACCAGTTGTGTGACCTTCGGCAAGTCAGGGAATAGCTCTGGGCCTCAGGAAAGTGCAGAAAACAGTGCCCGGCATGGGGTGCATTTCAATTCATAATAAGTGTTATAATAACCACAATGTGGTTATTTTACCCCAGCAAGGACTTTAGATAAATGATATTGGAGCACTGTTTTTAACTGCCGAGACTTTTCTTCAAATAAAACCAAATGAGAATGAAGCTGAGTGCCCTTACTGAATTGATTACCTGCTCCCCCACTCTCTCTGGATCACAATGAGGATCCCTAGGACTCCTGTGGAGCGCAGTTTGAAAACTACTGATGTAGTGGAAGGAATCCTAGGCCTGGAATCAAAAGGCCCTTTCCGCGTTAACGAGCCGCGTGACCTCCAGCAGGTTAATACCCTCCCTCAGCCTCAGTTTTCTCATCCGTGTAATTAAGAGTTAGACTAGGGCTGTGGTTTCAAACGGCTCTGTAAAGCCCTGAGAGTTACAGAGAGGTGCCCCAGGAAGATGTGAGGAATGAATGCGTAGTTGGGGGCTCAGTAGATGATGGGAAAAGTGGGAGGACGGGAAGAGCTATGAAAGGGAGCAGAGACATTCTGGTGGTAGCTGGGGCCGGGGGCGGGGGGACATAGGGCAAAGGAAAGCTTTTTATAGGTGATTTTGTGTGTGTGCGCGGGTGTGTGTAGCACAGCAAAATTGTGTGCTGATGGGAAATGTCTGGGAGACAGGAGTGCAGGAAGGGGGATGCCTGGAGGAGAGAGGGCATGAGATCCAGGCACACCGGATCTTGAGGGGACTCGTCATTGGGGACAGATACAACAAAGTATAAGGCAAGGGTATCAGGAGAGCATATGAGGGGCTTGATAGAAGGTATCTAGGAGAAAGGGAGCGAAGTTACTAGGAAAATATAGTAACTTCGAAGTTACTAGGTAACTTCGGTATCTAGGTATCTAGGAGAAAAGGAGCGAAGTTACTAGGTAATGGGGTGCTTGGTTAAGGTGTGGGGTCAGGGTTAGAATTTCAAGGGAAGCCCTCTGGCTGGGTAAATAACCCTCTAGTAATGTGCCGCTATTTAGGTGCAGGCCTGGGGGACGCAGCGGATGGAGTCAAACTACAGTTGACTTTCTTTGGTCAAAGTGGAAGAGAACTGAGGGTATTTGTAAGGGAGTGGATATTTTGCATAGCGGACTCTAAGCTAGTGAAGTTTGAAAAATGTTTGCAGGTATCCAGTCTACCTCCAGGACTGTTTATTATTATTTCTAATGATAGCACATGTGTCCTATAGAGCATGTGAGATTAATGGCAGTTTTATAGAAAAAGGAGAGAGACTTCATCCTAAGGAGCCACACTCGAGGGACATTTTATAGTGAATACCCTCCTTTATTGCTGCATCACCCAAATTCCCTGATTTATATTACGAACAATGTACCCAACCACTTTAGATGTATTATATTTATATAAATGGCCTGATTTCAGTGCCTGGAACATAGATGTTCAATAAACATTTGGTGAACAAAGCAATCTCAATGTTAGGCAAACCTTAGAAGCAGGTGATAACCCACGTGGAATTGTTTAGAAAACAGTTTCTTCAGATTTCCTATTTGAGTCTTACACAACCTTTTTAAAAGTTAATAGTAGTGTTTAATGGGTACAGAGTTTTATTTGGGGAAGATGACAAGGTTCTGGAGATGGGTAGTGGCGATGGTTGCACCACAATATGAACATACTTAATGCCACTGAACCGTATCCCTTAAAAAGTTAAAATGGTAAATTTTGTTATGTATGTTTCACCAGTTTAAATAGAGAGGGAAAAAAGTTAATAGTATCCTCACTGTGGGTTCTATATTGTCTTTAAAGAGGATGAAGGTGATCTATACCTAATGGCGAGGGCTGAAATCCAAGATACACTAAGTGAAGAAAGCAGGGCACAGACCGGTGTGTGTAGTGTATTCCTTTTAAGGAAAAACAGATGGCGACCTACACTTACGCACATATCATTACCTGTATATGAACATTACCTTTAACAGTGTACCAGAAACCGTGAGACGGGCCTGAGAGCCAAGGTGGGAGGGACATCTACTGTTCAATGTATTCATATTGTTGAATATGAATATGTATTACTTTTTCATATATAAATCTTAAAAACTGAGTAGTGGCCCTTAGCCTAAAATAGTAACTAGAGTATATTCCTTAAAAATTTTCCTTGTTTTTAAGAACCTAATTCTATGTAAGTGTTGGTCACCCGAGTTTCAGAATTATGTCAACTTTAAAGAGAACGCTTTAAGTGCAGAACGTGAGTCTCAAACTTTGCAATCATTGATCAGACACCCTGAGGATTTCTAACACCCTTTTTCTTCCTTTTCTATGTGCAGCATAATAAGTGTGCCACGTACTCTGTGGGAATGCAGAAAACTTACTCCATGATCTGCTTAGCCATAGATGACGATGATGATAAAACTGATAAGACCAAGAAAATCTCAAAAAAGCTTTCTTTCTTGAGTTGGGGCACCAACAAGAACAGACAGAAGTCAGCCAGCACCTTGTGCCTCCCATCGGTTGGGGTCACCGGGCCTCAGGTCAAGAAGAAGCTGCCTTCTCCCTTCAGCATTCTCAGCTCCGACAGTTCTTTGTAGTAACGTGAGGAAACAAAAATGTTCAGGCCCAAAACATTTCCAGTGCGGGCTAAGCCTTCATATCGGTGCCATGATGGAAAATTCCTAAACATTCTCGAATTCTGTTTTCTCACAGTGTAACCTTACAATGGATATGTATGTCTTCATGAATGAAAGTAACAAGAAACCTCTAGAAATTTGTGGAAAACAAACTTATTCAAGGAATGTCACCATATTGCTGCAAGTTATTTATTATATAAAGTATTGTAAATAGAATAGTGTTGAAAATATGGCTATTTTTAAATGGCTACAATTATGACTTTTAGTTACTATTGATTTTACTATTGATTAAATTGAGGTTACCTACATTGGTCCTATTTGTAATAGTTTCCAGGCTTGGGTAATAGATCCTTCCTGATAAGCCCAAAAGCCTGATAAGCCCAAATTAAGGCAGGTCAAGGGTCTATAATGATGGACTTAAGAAGTTAGTGTTACTAAAAACTGTTCCAAAGAGCTCTTTCTGAGGGGAATTCATTAACCTAAAATGACAAGATTTTACTATTATTTCTACATAACATGAATGCTATTTCCAGATAAAGTCTAGTGCCAAATTTGTTGTGACTTATTAGATAAAACACTTTAGGACTAGCTTTTCTTCCAGTTTCACGTCATTTAAAAGTTGCTAACACAGTGGCAGTGTTAGATGAAGATGCTGTCTACAAGGTAGATAATATACTGTTTGATACTCAAAACATTTTTCATTTTGTCTCAAGTAGAAAGTACATGATTATATATTTTAAAAGTCTTTAAAATGGGTTAAAACATTTTATAAGGTAAAGATGTAAATGATTCAAGTTTAAAGCTCTATTTGACTTCTTAAAATGATATTCTTACCACCTGATTTCTCTTGCTATAAGTTGGATGACACTGTGATTCTAGTAAGAGTCACCGTTGACATAGTACAAGTTATATAGCTAAGAAATATCTAGCATTGAAATCTGATTTTGAGAGTTAACGAGAATTTAAAATGTTTTCTAGTGTGCAATACCAAAAGGGAAGCAACACCTTTGGGAAAATGTATCCACCGCTCTTAGGGTCGTTTTTATATAAGTATTTAAATAAATATTCATTTGCCTGTATTAATGGTTTTGACTTTTTCACTTTAATTCCTTCCTTTCAAATTATTTCCACCCTGATGCACAAATGTTTTTATTGATTTTTAAAAATTACTAACATGTCACAAAACAGGACTTTCAAGTTGTCTTAGTATCTTTGAAAACATGTGGCACCTTTTATTGTATTTATTTTTCGAATGGGCAAGTGTGTACCTTTTGGCCCCCAGCCTCCAGCTCTCCTTTCTAGATACACCTGCTCCTGTCATTTTCCTGTGCGTCTTCCCATTGTTGGGCTATACATTTACAAACACGTTCTTTTCTGCCCCCCACACACATTGGCTTTTTATCTTTAAATGGGTATTCTAGACTCCAGGCTTTCTGTGTTCAGATGTGCCCAGTGACTGATTATAAACAAACTGCAGCTACCAGGAAGGGAGGGAGGGAGGAAGAACAAAGGCTGTACAAGTGTTTATTTACACAGGCAGCAGCCCTCAAAGCCCAAGGATATTAAGACCAGACCCAAAGAACAGCGGCTCTGCCACTCAGAACAAGGGACTTATGGTACACAGTGCTTCATTGGAGGTTTGTTTCCTTTAGAAGGTCATATCCACCACCTGAAACTTGATAAGACCTTTCCATGATAGATACAGGTCAAGGTCACACATTCAAATCTGCCCAAGCTGGCTTTTTGCTGGATCTGAGAGTCGCTAACTAAAGTTATTCTTTTAGGAAGATCCCCACCTGCTCTCTTCATGCTAGCAGAATCAGGGCAGCGCCAGCTGGGGCCCACTAATGTAAATGCCAGCACCCAGAGAGCAGGGCAGGATAACTGGCAGGTTCCACTCAGGTCTCACCTCATCTTTCACTAGTTGTGGAGGGACAATTTTTTTCTTGGTTTTTAAATATGAAAAGAAAACAAGGTAGTTCGTGGTCTAAAGAGGAAAACGTAGTAGATGCTGTGAGGAGAGCCGTCACCTGGACTGAGTGAAGAACACATAAATTTGCTGTGCTACTGCTTGTCCAACGACCTGCTCCAGTTCTTGGATGGAAGCATTACTTAGTTGCTGGATACTTGGAAACTTCTGAAGCAGAAGGGGAGCTTTAACTTTTCCAACCCCTGGGATCTGTTGCACAGTTCGAAGGAGGGCGGGCTCAGAGATCAGAGTCTGTTTCCTCCCAAGAAATGGATTCTTCCTGGGCTCTTTGGTTTGTT